TTATTCCATGAGTATTACAGAAAGTGCTTGAAAAAAGTACTTACAGTGCTTTGCACTGCCGTCTGCACAACGACGTTTCGAAAACTCTGTTTGGTTTTGTATGTTCGTCACAGATTGTTACGCTTTAGAACCAGATCTGAATTTTGAATTTCTCATACCCAACTCTCATGGCGCCTCAGGTATCAGATGCGATGCGCGCGCGGATTGTCATTTGGAATGATGAGCAATATCTCTCAGCACAGGAATTTTCAGGCCTTGTTGGATGAGGCTCACCAATTTGTGGCAGTCACGGTACAACACATACAAACATGATTTCCCAACTTCGTTGTGCAGACGGCAGTGCAAAGCACTGTAAGTACTTTTTTCAAGCACTTTCTGTAATACTCATGGAATAATTAGCAGTGTAAATTTTATAGAGACAATCTATGGGATAGGAAAGGACACTAAATACAATGAGCTCGGAGGTGATGGTGGAGGGGTCTCCAACCATTCTCGAGGAGGAGCCACTTTGTCCTACTTCCACCCTTCCCATGCTACTGGGTTCCTGCCAAATCCTTGCCGTCTGTAGTTGCTCTGTCGTTGGTGGTCAGTTGGTTTGTTGGTGTCTACATTCTCGTGTCGTGGCTCAATGGAGCAGTCTTTGGATTGGCTCTTCCCTATTCGTGGCCCATGATGTCAAAAGGAAGGAAAGATAATGACGACAAAAAGAGTTGGGGACATACGAGGTATAGGCAGTGGTCCCTCCTGCTGGGGGTTGCGCCAGGTTTCGGATCCCAGTCTTCGAGGCTGTGGTGCTCATTCTTGGGTTCTAGATACTTTTCTGACTGACCTGGTGGTTTCGTCGCTGGCCCCTGTGACCTGTGTGCATGTGACCCCTTAGAATTTCGTCGATTTCGGACCCCTGTGACGTGTGACCAACGAATTGATTGGATTAGTAGGGTGATGATGAGAATAGTAATAGTGGGATTATATTATAAGAGTAAAATAGTGGGATTTAACCCTGGATAGTGGGATAGCAAGATGGAATAGTGGGATAGCAAGATGGAATAGTAGGATTGTATCACAAAAGTGGGATGGTATTAATTAGGTTAGTGGTATTATCTTGTAAAAGTGGGATGTGCCTTACTTGCCAAAGTGTGCTGCTGATCTTTTGTTGAAATATCTTCCTGCTGCCTAGCAAATGAGCTGACTTGTGATGCTTTTGACTAGTGATGTGCAGGCCCTGAAAGCCATGGCTATGGCCCAGGCTAAATATGAATTACATATACAAATGATCTGTTGAGGAATCATTAACCGTTATTAATTTAAGAGCCTGTTCAGCAACCAGAATCTGACAAGAATCTGGTTCAATTCTTTCAAATTCTTGTGACACAGTGTGACCTCTCTTGTGATTTGTTGATGGCATGGCAACTGGCGACAACAGTGGACGACGTGACATGTCCAAAGCCCCTTGTCATCATGTTCAACATTGAGCAACAGGTATTATCGTGAAGAAAGGTATGACTTCACATAAGTAACATCGAAGTCTGTCTAGGAGAGACTAACTATCTGGATGGAATCCCACTTTTTCTGTTTCATTCCCACTATTGAAATTTCAATCCCACTCTTTGCTAACCAATCCCACTATTTCTAGTCTACATCTACCATCCCACTATCACTCTTCTTGTATATACCCTGGATTAGCACAGTATTCCAAAATCCAGCTGCAAAACTGCAATGTATCAAGATACGTAATATAGTCTACTCATCTGCTCCTCACTTGAATTTTTTCTAGTCTTGGGTCAACCACCGCCTCTTATTTCCATGCAAGGATATGAATGGTCTTGCAGTTTCCAATTCAGTCTTGTTGGTCACCTCTGTGTCAATTTTTGGCATAAGTTTTAGCAAGTTTCTTCCCATTTTGAAAATGTCATCTCCAGGGACACCTGCAACATTGCACACTCCTGTGTGATCTTCTTCAACTCCTCTAAACTTTTTTCTACAACCTGGCTGTCCTCAATATTTTTTTGTGCTTCCAACGTCAAGGCAGTACATTGCAGCATGGCGACTACCTGGTCAACACAGAGTTGGAAGCGGACCATGTCATATTGCTCGTCAGACTGATTTTGGCGCACCTCTAACAAAAGCCAAGTTAGTGAGCATAAACAATGAAAGAGACTGTGCTGACCTTTCAGCTCTTCTTTGAGAGTGGAGATCTCATCAATGACTTACTGAAAACCTTTGTTTTCCATCCTGAGTTTTGTAAGCTCTGCTTCCTAGTACAGCCTGAGGCACACCATATGATCATGAGTCGATGACACATCTTCAAAAATTGCAAAGCCTGTTTACAATTCCCCAAGGCTGTCACCAAAACACTCATGTTGATAGAGATGAGAAGTTCAAGCATGTGTGGAAAGAGGAGAAGAGTTGCCAGTTATAGTGAGTCCTTGTCGAAGTTGTGTCGAAGTTGAGGATTACGATGGTAGTAGCCTGTGGTTGGCTCCAAACCCAAGCAAACTCAAGCATCAATCAAGCATTCACACTACTACATGCTAACAGGCTGGCCGGCAGGTATCTTGGAACAAAGGCCTCACATTTTCAAAATGCTAATTAAATGCAAGGTTTCCAAGGGTAACACAATGGGTCGTCTCCGTACAGTTAACTTTGTCCCAAGTCATTCAAGTTGTCAATGGTACATAGTACAGACGTAGGTACTTGGGCTTAGGAATCAGCCAAACACCGCACATGAGTGGTGATACGAAACTGATCCTCGTCCTAGACACATATAACAATAAGATTATCTGGGCAAGACACAGTGATACCACACAAGCGAACTGTACCCACCAAAAGTCCACCATCATACCCAGAAAGCAACCCCACAAGGCCAACAAGCATCTTCCCCAGGAGCGGGTGGACATTAAAGTAGAACTCCCGCTTGAGATAGTGTGAGCCGAATTTACAAAGTGGGCTTCATTCCATACAACGATGTTGGATGTGCCGATTTTGTGGAAGCGTGTTCAGCAGGAGAGGAGGGTGTATATTACGGGAGGGATGTGTTCCATGTTTTGGTAGAGGAATTGGTGCTGTGTGGTAGGTAGCAGTTGGTTGGTTGAGGGTTGGTAGCTGGTGGGGACTTACGATGGATGTTGTTGAGTACACGGCCTTTCAATCATATGGATAAAAGCGGCCAGCGCTGCCCCCCGTCACTCCTGTTTAGACCTCCTGGCCTCGCCCTCAGATGTTGAATAGGGCAACCAACCAATGGTGCGTCGTTGGGTAAGAAACACCTTCAAACCCAAATGAATAGTCTCAACATGGCACGTTATAGTCAGGATCAGATGTGCCAAAATCAACAGCTATGGCAGAAGGTTTCATGAATTAGGGTGTTCCCACTACAATGAGGGCAAAAAGTTAGAAGGGCAGGAGTGAGGGAATTACCGCAAGCAACATTGATGACATTGATGGCGACTGGAGAGGTAATTGACAAGAGGAAAAGGTTGATGAATGAAGGGCCTACTGAGCACGATGTCATGGTCAGTGAGCTAGTTACAGAAATAGTGGTGGAATATACTCAGAATTGATCACACTATCAATGCCAGTGAGTTGATTATCCTTTATAATACTTCTACCTCAATTCTAATCTCGGCTCCAGATGTGTAGAGAGGTCCAGTCTGGCGATCCACGGAGTTTAAAGTCGGAGGCAAAAAAAGCGGAACACAGGACCTCTCTACTACATCTGGTGCAATTTGATCAGTAGGGGTAGGCTTGTGTGACAACGTCACAGTGGTCACTTTTGCTCACACCATTCCTCCTCCTCCTCAGGCAACGAAATAGCATTACCAACTTGAATGTTCTTTCTGAAAATAACTGTATTACACTACCTTGATTTGGTTTGAATAGTTGTGCTTTTTTTTCTTTCTTTAAGAGGCATGCTACTTGGTCAAATTCAAATGTTGATTACACAACCACATATTTTGCTAATAAATTTCTGAGACTGGTGTGGACCTGCCTAATGGCTTGGAAACCATGTAGACTATATGTTTTGGCCTTATGAAACTGAGGATATACAAGTTCCTTGCTTTGGACTGTAGGGATGTTGCACAAGCAGATAACATATTTTGCTTTATCCAATGCACAAATCTGGGTGCTGTGAAGTGCAAAATGCTGTCCCTTGTCATTGTTTTTTACATAGGATTAAAGAGAATATTAGCTTTTATTTTTACCAGCTGGTTTTGAAAGACTGATTTTGTTTCCTGCACCACTGACCTTTCAGAAGGCTTGTATTCTCCTTCAACTATGTTTATTTGCTCACAATGAAGCTAAAGTGTGGAGCAGTTATTTTATACTTTATTGGTGATAAAGCATGCTACAAAATTTGGAAATAATTTTGGAGCTGATATGAAAGATGTAGAGATGATTTGGGATGCAGGACTTCTTGACAGTAAATTAGTAATAATTAAAT